GATGTGTGCGGTCGGATTGGCTGGCTCGTTCGAAGCTTAGATGTCACACGGGACCAATAGGCGTCTATTTGTTATCGCTGCCTATAAACCGACAAACTCTAGCGATGACTCGGTAAAAGATGACCTCTATCGTCAACTGAACTGAGCCCCTTTGCCGCTGAAGGAGCTCGGGCACTGTAGTACTGGCTGGGGATCTGAACACTCAAGTTGGAAAATTATCCAGAGATGAGCAACATCTAGGCGGTCAACACGGTGTAGGCTCCCGGAATGATAACCGTGAACAGTTACTTCATTTGTGTGAGGATGCTCGCTTATTTCTTAAGAGCACTAATTTCCGATACAGTACCCGCCGGAGGGTGACTTGGCGCCCACCAGCCTCGAAGCAGCTATGGACGCAAATCGATCACATTGCGATAAGTTACCGATGGAGAGGCTGTTTCCAAAACTGTCGCTCGATTTGGAGTACATGTGTGGACACTGACCATTCACTTGTATGTGTTGACCTGCGGATGCGTTTTGGCGGATGCCCACGACGACGCCGTGAGCGCACTGACACCAGCCAATTGACAAATCCAGCTGTTCTGAATGCGCATCGAAGTACGCTGTCATGCGAGTTTTTTTAGCGCTTACTGGAGACAATTGATGGCCACTGGTCACACGTTTGCCAGACCTTACTAGTAGCAGGCGAATCCCCATGTAGTATGTCTAAAAACCAACAGGGACATTAGGTTTCTTCGCGGTCTCTGGGACTTATCGATGCTCGCCGGCACATTCCAGTTGGAAACGAACGCAATGATACTGGTAAAGAGCTCCGGGCAAAACTCCGTGCTAGCCTGAAGAGAGACCGCGAATCTTGGTGGTCTCATCGTGCATCAGAGATGGAAACAGCCGCTGCCCTTGGCAACTACGCTAAGTTAATCCGTCTGATACTGGAGTCGGGCAGCAGGAGACCTGGTGCTAGTGAAACAATTTTCCCGCGAGTAGACAGCCAATCCACAACTTGCCAAAACGCTTGGGGCGTTGGGTTGAGCAATTTGAAAGGCAGTTTAATCTGTCAAAATTGTTAGATTTCTCGCCGGCCACTGATCGTCCCGTTCCGTGGGCTGTCCCTTTGGATCCACCCTCACGCGCAGAAGTCGAACGTGAGATCGCACTGTTGAATTTGAACAAAGCCGCAGGACCAGACGATCTTTCTCCAGCCCTCTTCAAATTTGGAGGGCCTGCTCTTGTGCATGATGTGCATGAGTTACTAGTGAAACTGTGGCAGCAGGAAACTGTCCCAACCGACTGGAGCCGCTCCGTCATAATCCCAATTTTCAAGGCAGGCTCACCATCGGAATGCCGCAACCATAGGGGAATCAGTCTGATCTCTATCTCCTCCAAATTGCTTGCCTCTGTCATCCTTCATGGACTGACTGCCACTCGTGAAAGCCATATTCGTGAAAAGCAAGCAGGGTTTCGTCGAGGTAATGGCTGCATTGACCACATCACCACTTTGCGTCAGTTGTTGGAGCACGGTTACAAATATTGGTGGCCCACCGTTGTCATATTCCTCGATATCAACGGTGCATACGATTTGGCGAATAGACATGCAATTTGGGACTGTCTATTCAAGATAGGTGTACCTGAGAAATATGCAAATATTATTCGAGGATTATAGGCGCCTAGCTCAGGCAGAGTGAGGGCTTACGGCAAGCTGTCGTCACCCTTTAATATCTCCAGTGGTGTGAGACACAGATGCCCGCTGTAACTTTTCCTCCTCAACTTCGCTATTGATGAAGTCATAGAAATCGCATTTACAGAACCAGACTTCGAAGGTATGGGTCTGCTCACAGCGGAAAGACTTTTGACTTAGAGTATGCTGATGACATTGCCTTAACCTTTGACAGCTCCCAAAAGTGTGAAACGGCACTGGACAGATTAGCACTAGGTGTCCGTCACCCTGGGCTTTTCTTCGCACCCTCGAAGTGAAAAGCGTTCCTCCAACATTGATCTGGACCGCCTCGTACGTTAACCGTTGGTGGGGACCAACTAGAGGTCGTACAAAAATTCGAGCACCTGGAAGGTTGTATCAGCCCCCGTAGGATTGAGGATGAGATCACGAACCGTATAGCAAATGCTCGGGGCGCTTTTGCTAACCTTCACTACTTATGGCGCCGGTGCGACATTTGGCAGGAACATGGCGTGAACAACGAGTGTGTTCGATGCCTTGTTTACGGCACAGGAAAAGGAATTGAACCGCTCAGCACCGTTATTTCACGCAACAGGCTCCGATGGCTGGGCCACGTGTTACGCATGCCAGCTCACTGACTTCCGCGACGTGCGTTGTTTGCGCGTCGTGGGTGTGGATGGAAGAAGAGGAGGTTGGCCAAGCGATGACCTGGTCGAGAGGAATGAAGGCCCTCACTTCTGAGCTGGCCTCGGTTGGAGCGTCTCGTCTCCCTGGTTGGGGTCCGAAAGAACATGAATACTTTTGGATAGATACACTTGTTGACATGGCAAGAAGCCGACCTCAGTGGCGTTCCTGCTGTGAGTTTCTTTGTCCCACCCCGTCCCTCTTAGCCTTCCCGTTCAACTACGATCTCACTAGTTAGCCTTTTATAAATTTGCATGATAATATTTTTAATGCACAGTAGCCGGCTGGTAGCTTACCGGAACGATGCCCATCCGTTACTGGTAGCTCAACCGGCTTGCACCAGTTACATTTATTTTTCTCCTTTTTTCTTCTATCTATAGCGGCACAGTAGCTGAGATGTTTTCCACCTCTAGCTGACGAGTATAATGATGATAAGGATGACCAAAAAGCATCATTTCTAGTAACTTCATTTAATCGTCTGTTGGCTACGCAAAGTCAGAAGCCACCGTCCTTCTTCTTCTTCATTAGACTAACCGGGGCTGCCCATGACGAAGCAGAGGGACGTATTACCTCCTTTTCCAGCATTTCATTTATGCGCTTCTATAACCCAGGCTACCAAAGTACTGGGATCCGTCTTGGTGGAATTTTACTGGGGATGGCACCCCCGGTGTCGATTGGGTGTTTTACAAGTCTGGTTCTACCTAAGTCGGTAGTTCGCCATGTGAATGCTTCTGAGTGTTTTCGTAACACGTTTACGGGCGTTTGGGTTGCTCAGCCCTGTCTAACACGGTTTTTGTAAGGACCATTATTGCCTTACTAACTTGTTAGTTACCCGGGAACAGTGAGCCGATGCGGTTGATCAGGAAAAGCCTTGGACGTATTCTTCATTGACTTCTCCAAAGCTGTTGACCCTGTTCCACACTCTCGCCTTTTGTTTAAATTGCAGTCTTATGATATCTCGGGGCCAGTCTTGAAATAAATTACAGCTTTTTGAACCGAAAGGGAGCTATGTGTTCGTGTGGGCTCCAGCCTGTCCTCAAATCCATGTGTTCACAGCGGTGTGCCGGAAGGATCGGTCATTTAGCGTCTGTTATTCAGCTTGTGCATTAATGACTTACCCGAAGAACTGCGGGTGCCATCCCTACTTTTAATGACGACTTAAATTTGTGATCTACTGTAAATGATCCTAGTGGTCCACTGACCCCACAAATGGCTCTAGAGAAACTATGGAACTGGTCAGGCTGGCTTGGCAAACAACCTCCTCATGGTGCCAGCTGGGTGTCTCGGGTTTTTCCCGTTCCAGCGAATGGTTCAGCGGAAGAGTTCCAGGACGTGATGGGTTTTCGTCTGGCAAGCGTTCTCCCTAGAAAAAGCCACAAATGTCCGTTTGGCTATAGCAATGAAGACTGGTAGCTCAGGTGGTTCAGATGGCTGTTGAACTATTCGCTGATTCTGGCAATTTCGTTGCAAACGTTGCGTCACCAATCGAGTTGACATCATCAGTGTGTAGTTGAGTGGTATGCAATAGCGTAGAGTAGCGTAGGGGAGCCTCGGTGAGAGTGCGCTAAGTGTGGTGTGCCTGCGTTTTTTATACCGTCGTGGTTGGCAGTGGAGCCGAGCAATCCTATTGATTGGGACTTCGATCCGCCTTCAGCTTGGTTGATGGGCAGATGACTTTGAGCTCATCTCTTTGTGTTTCGTAGCCACGAATTGGCCAAAGAAACCATGTGGGAACTGCTTGAGAATCAACTAAGCCCCACGACGACCATACGACCGGAAAGTTTTGGGAACTCCTGAACCTCTGCATCACCACTTATTTCCGCTTTGATGGACAAGTGTACCAGCAACTGAGAGGAACCCCCATGGGATCACCAATTTCGGGGCTTATTGCAGAAGCCGTAATGCAGAAATTGGAACGCTTTGCACTGCCATCTATCAGCCCAAAACTCTGGATACGATACGTGGACGACACATTTTTCATCGTAAAAGAGAACAGATTACAGACCCCGCACGATTTGCTTAACAACACATTCGAGGATATCAAATTTACGATTGAATTAGAGGAGAATAACAAGCTACCATTTTTGGATGTACTGGTCACTAGAAATAGGGACGGATCTATGGAAACGTGCGTATATCGGAAGAAAACCCATACGGACCAGATATTAAACTACCACAGCAACCACCCAATGAACCACAAGAAGAGCTGCATTCAAACCCGGTTCAAGAGAGTGGAAACGCACTGCAGCACAGCTGAATCTCGGAAACAGGAAGATAATCACCTATACCGAGTGTTTAGAAAGAACGGTTATCCGAGAAATTTTATCAGAAGAAGCTTAAAGAAACGAATACCTGAGCAACAACAGCAGTCATCTGATCAAGCAAACAAACGGATAGTGTTTCCCTACATCAAGAACGTCTCCGAACTAACAGGAAGATTGTTACAATCACATGATATCTCTGTGGCGCACAAGCCAAGTGCCACCTTAAGAAAATTAATCTCAAGACCCAAAGGAAAAGTCAATCAAGCCGACCAATGCAATGTCATCTACCAGATCAAATGCAGCGACTGCGATAAAACTACGTCGGACAAACCGAAAGAAAACTTTGGACACGAATCACCGAACACAAGGCGGCCGTCAGAATGCATGATCCACACTCATTGGTTTCCGTGCATGAAGATCAAGAAGGCCACCATTTCGATCTGGAGAACGTAAAGATCCTAGCTCATGGAAGTACAAAACATGCGAGGGAGTTTCTGGAAGCTTGGTTCTCTACCACGCAGTCAATCAATCGACACATCGAACTGGACGCAGGATACGCCACCCTACTGAGGAACGACCGCCAACTCGATCGATTGAATCCGGTGGAACGTGTGACTAGACCAACAGAACTGAGGGCAAACTCGCTCGTAGGAGCAAGCAGACAAAGACCACGAAACACAAAGAGATGAGGTCAAAGGTCATCTGCCCATCAACCAAGCTGAAGGCGGATCGAAGTCCCAGCCAATAGGATTGCTCGGCTCTACGGCCAACCACGACGGTATAAAAAAACGCAGGCACAGCACGCTCAGCGCACTCTCCTCGAGGCTCCCCTACGGTACTCTACGCTATTGCATGCCACTCAACTACGCACTGATGATGTCAACTCGATTGGTGACGCAACGTTTGCAACAAAATTGCCAAGCTCAGCGAACAGTTCAACAGCCAAATGTCCGTTTAACAACACTGCAACGTGGCGGATGTGACTCGCCACTAAATAAAGTCACCGCCCCTTGCCTCTCCCTGAGAGGCATTGTACTTTAAGGGTGCGTTGGGCTCCTGGTCCTTCACGGACCGAAAGGCGTATGAACCGTCTATTTGGTCACCGGCTCCCAACGGGTTGCGACGCCCTCACATCGCCCTGCTGCCTTGTAGGTTAGATCTTTGATCAAAGGCTCGGGGTAGGGTCCCCTAAGTCAACCCTCTATCTCGGACTGGGCAACCGAGTAGTATCACGCCCACTGACGGATCAAAGACCACGCCGCTTACTACCGCTACTGCTATGCCTATCTACTGTGCTAACTCAACCGCCCAACGTCCACTCACAGATCACCCTACCTCCCGTCCTTCACCTACATGTACTTTGATGTCTTTTACGGTCACCGTCACAAAGGACCCACGTCTCGCAGCTGATGGAAGTAACAGCCAAACTCCCGGTTTTCAATGTCCTCCGATCGCAACCGCGTCTCACTCCACCGAAGCTCCAGCTCTTCTTCGACCTGGTTCTCCATTCACCCTCGCAGTATTTAATGTTCGAAATTTGATGCAGATGGGATGACAAGCATGTCTGCCCGTACTCTCGAAACGCTTTCGGTAGACATCTGTTGCTTTTCAGAGACCAGATTACAAGACCCTAGCGCCGTCATCAGAAACGCCTCTCCGGTAAATTCTAACGCCAAATACTACTTGCGGCTTTCCGGAGACCCAGAAGCTGCCGCTACTGGTCAAGCTGGTGTTGGGGTTTAAATGAGTGCCACGGCTGAATCAGCTCTGCTTGACTGGATCCCAGTCAACAGCCGACTATGTGCTGTCAGACTAAGAGGTGCACGTAACGTAAGCAGGCGTCGAGACGTTAAGCGTGCCTTGTTTGTCATCTCCGCCTACGCCCCTACAGACTGCAGACCGGATGAAGTTAAAGATAGCCTTTATCAACAACTACATGAACTACTGCGCTCCTCCTAACGGACTGATATAGTCATTCTTGCCGGGGTCTTTAACGCACGAGTTGGCCGCCTTCCACCAAGCGACCACCACCTTGGGGGTAGTTTTGGTCTCTGTAGCAGTCGATCAGACAATGGAGACAGACTGCTTGCTCTTTGTTCTGATCATCGCTTGTTTCTTTCGTGCACTAGTTTTCGGCACTCGAGGAGACACACTGCTACCTGGCGCTCGCCCTCACAAACGCAAGAGTGCTCCCGGCTTGACCATATAGCAATTAGCTACAGATGGCGTGGAAGCGTAACGGACTGCCGATCGTACTGGTCAACTTATCTAGACTCCGATCACGCATTGGTTCGTGCTAAGATTTGCATGCGTTTCGGAGGATCGCCTAAGCGCGCTCTCTACCGACCTGACTTCGCGAATCTACAAAACCCTGCGATTTCAACCAGGTACCAAGCCTCACGGTCCACTGCTTGGCTCAACAATTGACGGTGATCTCGATTCGCAGTGGGCGCATATCAAAGATGCTTTAGTTTCCGCCAGTATCGACACTTGTGGAGTTACCCGTCACCCACCGAAGCATTGGATTTCCGCCGACTCCTTGTCGCTGATGGACAGACGCCCCTTGCTCCCATCGGATTCCAAACACATTGAAGAACACCAGTACCTTGGTCGAGAGTTGCGCAGGAGTCTGCAAATGGACGGCGAAGCTTGGTGGTGTGAACTTGCTAGGGAGATGGAACTTGCTAGTCTCTGTGGTAATACCAGGAAACTCTTCCATCTTATTCGAGTCACCGAAGGTGTTCGATCTGGTATAAGTGAAACAATATGCGAAGAGGATGGCACCTTAATCACCAATCTTCAACGACGGTTGGAGCGATGGGCCGAACATTTTGGCTCGCAGTTTTCTTGGCCCCCAGCTACATCTGCTACCTCTGACGCTCGCGCTGAGGCAGAGTTGTCTACCCCAACAGACCCTCCCTCTTCCCAGGAAATCGAGCAGGAGCTCCGGCACATGAAGCGTTATAAAGCCCCTGGCCCTGATGGTCTTCCTCCGGCTCCATTTAAAGATGGGGTTGCATCGCTGGTTCGAGAACTCACCACTTTGTTCTCAAAAATTTGGTCGAACGAGGAAGTTCCGTCGTCTTGGGGTGAAGAGATAGTCGTCCCCATCTTCAAAAAGGGCCTGCGCACAGTCTGCCCCAACTACAGAGGAATAAGCTTAGTCCCCGTGGTTTGTAAGCTGCTGGTGTCCATCATACTTCGCAAGCTATCCCCAACACGTGAAACATTACAACGAGAAGAACAAGCTGGGTTTCGCCCTGGTCGTGGCTGCATCGATCAAATCTTCACACCTCGCCAGATCCTCGAGCTCCGCCATGCGTATCAGAGGCCAACGATTGCTGTGTTCATAGATATCTGTGCAGTCTTCGATTCTGTCGATCGCACGGCACTGTGGCACTGTCTACTGAGGAATGGTGTCCCCGAGACGTTCGTCTCCATACTGCGCGCTGTATATAGTCTGACCTCGGACAGGGTTAGGGCATACGGCAAGCTTTCGCCTACCTTTGTGGTCTACAGTGGAGTTCGACAAGGATGCCCTATCTCTCCGTTCCTATTCAACTTTGCCATTGAGGATGTCTTGAAGAACCCTCTAGGCGATTCGTTGAATGCTGGCGTTGAGCTCCTCCCAGGTAGTCGAGTTGTTGATTTGGATTATGCTGATGATATCGTCTTGCTGGGTGACGACCCACACATCGTCCAACTTGCATTAAACCGCTTGGCGATTGAAGCTTCAAAGTACGGTATGTACTTTTCCCCATCCAAATGCAAGGCTCTCTTTCAAGACTGGCAGGTGCCTCTGCCTGCACTCACGCTTGCTGGTGCGACACTAGAGGTTGTGGAGAGCTTTGTCTACTTGGGAAGTTGCATCACTGCTGGCGGAGCTGTTGGAGACGAGATTTCTATGCGCATATCGAGAGCAGGCCTCGCTTTTCCTAGGCTGAGGTATTTGTGGCGTCGCCACGACATTCGTCTCTCCATCAAAGGGTGGATCTATTGTGCGACTGTTCGTGCTGTACTGTTGTACGGATGCGAGACCTGGCTCATTTGTAAAGATGACTTGCACAAGCTATCCGTTTTCGAGCACCGCTGTCTGCAGTCCATTACCCCTTGTATGGTGGCAGCACCACGTAAGCAATGTGGATGTTAGACAGGGCGTCTTGGGACATGGAAGTCACTCGCTCGAGGAGCTCATCTCACTGCATCAACTGCGGTGGTCGGGTCACGTATTGCGCATGCCTGTCCTGCGTTACCCCCGTCGTGCGTAGTTTGCACTTGCTGGACAGGGCTGGAAGAGACGGTCTGGTGGGCAGCCTACAACATAGAGAAGCCGTATGAAAAAGTTGACGAAACAGTTGGCCTCGGCCGGTTGTTGTCGACTACCTGGTTGGGGTCCGAGAGATGCAGATACGTGCTGGTTGAAGACCTTGGAAGCCATGGCTCAAGATCGATGTCAATGGCGGACTTGTGCATCGGTTTGTTGCGGTGTTCCTTATTCCTCCCCTAAAAAAAGAACAAACTGAAAAATCTCAAAAACTGTGAGTGGCAAAATGAACAAAAAAGCAGTTCTTGTTGCTCTTTTCTTATTAGTCTTTTTGTTTTCCTATTCAGCCATGGTTCCGATGGCACAACACCTATACCACAGATTGTGTATAGTATATATAAATATATAAATATATATATATATGTAACTGGTCCGTTTTGTGGCAGTTGCCTATTAATCTCGCTAAATGCTCAGTTTTGAGAGTAGGATCAAATGACCCACCGACGCACTATTTACTCGGGGGTAATGAAGTTCCCCGTGTGTCAATGCAAACTGACCTTGCTGTCGTCTGATTTTAACTCCAGTGAACATTGCATGGCAGTTGCTCGAAGAGCTTTTGATAGGTTGTGGATGATCCGCTGATCATTCGAGATCATGACAACGGAAATCTTCGCAAGATTATTTGCAGCCTTGGTTAGGCCACACTTAGAATACTGTGTACAGGCTTGTTCACGCTGCCTAGTCTGAGACAAAATGGCAGTTGTACAAGTTTTAGGGTCGAGGACGAGAATGCAGTTTCAATTAAAGAAGCTGTCGTACTCTGAGAGGTTAATCAAGTTGGAGATGTTTGCGATTCACTACAGGCGATTACGCGGTGACCTGGTCCTCACCGGGCTTACCGGGACTGTTCCATCCCAATTGAGTGTCAACTATTCGTGGCCATCCACTGAAGTTGCATAAACCCCGTTCGGACCAGGTTGGGATTGGTTCTCGGTTATCACACCGGGTTATAGGTTCTTGGAATGCTCTGCTTGCTGAAGTACTGATGGCGTAAACGTTCAAGCATCGACTTGACGCCCTTGGTCTACAGTTTAAAACCTTCCCCTTCTCGTCTTAGCTCTGCTCTTATCTGTTGATGATTACACCTTTTTAACTTGTCATTTGCATTCCAACATTGTTACGCTCATTGCTCCAGTTTGCCTTTTTTGTTCTTCTTCCCCCTTTACTTCATTTTACTTGGCCAGCACAGCGGGAACTGCTACTGCAGGGCACGTGGGCATTGTTTGGTTGACCCAGAGTGAACCGCGTGTATTGATTTGGCTCCTCCTTGCTGATCGCCCCACCGATTTCACTCCGGGATCAAAGACGCTCTACAAATTGGAACAATCACGGGATTCTCCTACTGTTCCGGTCCCACTTGAACTTGAACTTGCTCATCCGTAACTACGTCGAGTGAGCAATCAAAAGTGTTTATATCGTATTGCTTGTCTGGGGTGTCCTCATACATTGCAAAAGCCTCTAACTCATCACTTTCATAAGGTCTTAAGAATACTGTGCAAGTACCTGTGATCAGTTGAAACCTGTCTAGATTCAAATCGCATTTCAAATGGCCCAGCAGATCCATCCCAAGAATTGCAGCAAAAGGAATTTTGTCCGCAGCAGTAAAATCCTGGGTGAAGCTCTGGTTCGCAATATCAACCCGTGCGGTTAGGGATCCGCGAACGGATAACATTTTGCCATTGGCGACAGGCGGTAGCTACAAGGAGCGCATACGCATTCTATTAGCTTGGCTTGCCGAACCACCTCCACATGGTGCCAGCTGGGTTGTACGGGATTTTCCCGTTCCAGCGAATGGTTCGGCGGCAGTGTTAAAGGACGTGGTGGATTTTTGCATGGCAAGCGATCTCCCTATAAAAAGCCACATATGTCCGTTTAACAACACTGCGACGTGGCGGATGTGACTCGTCACTAAATATAGTCACTGCCCCTTGCTTCATCCTGGCGAACCATTGTATTCCAGCAACTTTATGCTGTAATTTTGGGGAGCATTGGGTTCCTAATTGACAAAGTACCGAACGAAAGACTTATGAACTGAGCAAGCAGTCACCGGCTCCCAATGGGCGAGATTCCCTGAATTCGTTCCGCAACCTGCGGGCAGGCTATTCGGCCAAAAGCTCCGGGTGGTGTCCCCTAAGTCAACACCCTTCTTCAGCTTAGGTAAGCGGGTAGTATCTCGCCTTCTGACGAAATCACGAACATTGGTATGTTGTGTTGTGTATTCTTTTACGAGTTCTGCACCTTCTCTTTGATCCCATGGTTCCGGATGGCTCTATGTCTATTCGTAGACAGTGGCTATATATATATATATATATATATATATATATATATATATATATATATATATATATATATATATATATATATATATATATATATATATATATATATATATATATATATATATATATATATATATATATATATAATATATATATATATATTATATATATATATATATATATATATATATATATATATATATATATATATATATATATATATATGGTTGGCGGCATCCGGTTTCGGATTTGCCTGTCACTGTGGCAAGCCACAGGACGCCTGCGCCTACAGAGGGACCATGGATGGCTTGCGCTGCACCACTCACAGCTCCAACCACACAACCCATATCCAGTGTAAACCCGAAGGAATTAGACTGGGAGGCATGTGGATGGGAACCACGTTTCATCAACGGAGCCGGCCCGCATTCCTTCACATGCAAACACAAGCACACTGTATTTGGGGAATCAAGCGCACACAAGGCGGGTGGCTGGACCGTGGTCCGCTCCACACTGAGTGCATGGAACCACTTTTTGATCCTAACACGGCCACAAGGTCCGTGCACCCCGTCCCATCCAGCAACGACCAACTGTCTCCTGGAGCCAGTATAGACGAGGTAGTGGGTAATAGACAGGTACGCACCTTGTCAACGTGCACACCAAGTGCAGCCACACCGGAGATATCAAACAACAGCCAAACACTTGAGAGAGAAAGAGAGAGAGAAAGAAAATAACTCTATTGATGCGTAAGGAAACGGTGACATAAATCTTAAGTCAATGAGCATATGAAATAAGGTTTTTAAAAACGAATCCTAGATAAGTTCAAGAGGTGAGAAAGTATACTATACGGAAATGCAACGAGCACAAAATTATCATTCAAATCGAAACTATTGGCTTAGGCGAGGTGTGCAAGTTAATCGAATAGAATACAGGTAGACATTTATGTGAGAAAGAAAAGCATTAATGCACAATTGAAAACCCACCACCTGAAATAAACAGACTTAGCATGTAAGCACACGGTTAGTAAAAAGAATGCAACGTATCTACAGACGCTGCGCCGGATTTGAATACTTCGCTGCAGGACCCGTCATCGCTTCTGTACTGGTCCCAAGTGGCCTCGCTCATGGCTCACTAGACACTAGACATTTATAGGAGAAAGAAAGGCATTAGGACAAAATTGAAAACCCACCACCTGAAATAAAGAGACTTAGCATGCAAGCACGCGGTTAGTAAATCGAATGCAGCGTACCTAAAACGCTGTGCCGGTTCTACCTATGTTCTCTGCAGAACCCGTCGTCCCTTCGGTAGGGGTCCCGAGTGGCCTCGCTCATGGCTCACTAAGCCTGCCTGACTAAAGCACACGCGACCGCATGTTCTACAGCACCATGCGCTTGATGTCGATGGAGTACAATTCATCGGTGCTTGCCGCTTCCGCACTTGCCGCTTCTTCTCTGCATGTACGAGGTCTTCCTCCCGCACTTCAGCAACTGCCTTCATGATTAGATCGCGCCATGCACCACGATCAACCGCCTTCGAATCCCATGATCTGCAAACAAGGTTAGAACGTGTGAGGCTCACTTTGATCATGTCCTGGTAACGTAACTTTAGTTTCACCACGTGCCGTTTCCCAATACTCAGCTGACCGTGTAAGAGTTGTTTCAGTATCCTCATCGAATCCATACGGCTCACATGACCGAGCCATCTCAGGTGTCGCAATAAAAGTATGCAGTCCACTGCATACATCCCACTTCGGTGCAAAACTTTCGTGTCTTCAACTCTGTCGCCCTAACTGATGCGCAAAATTCGTCGCAGACACTGCTGATGGAACCGCTCGAGATATCTCACATCCCGCCGGTACATCGTCCACGTTACACTGCCGTATAGCAGAACGGAGAGCACCATGGATTTGTACACCATCAGCTTCGTGTCAATGGTAAGATGATGGTTGTTCCACACTCGGTACTCTAGCTTCCCGAATGCTGCCGCTGCTTTCGACACGCGAATACGCAGCTCAACGTGCAGCTGCTTATCAGTCGACATCACTTGCCCAAGGTAGCTGAAACGGGAGGTGGTTTCCAATACTTGAGCACCAATGCTGATTCGCGGCAATATTGAAGATTGCACCTCCGGTGAAGGCTGAAAGAGACAGACAGTTTTGCTTGTGTTGATGGTGAGCCCGAATTTGGATGCTGTCGAAACCAGAGCACTAGTCATGTGCTGCAACTCATCCGCGCTGTGTGCAAACAACACACAGTCGTCAGCAAACAGCAACATACGGATAGTTGTATCACAGAATAGAGTTCTCGCATCGAAACGACGGATGTTCAGCAACCCACAATCAATACAGTGTTCCACACAAACACCGTAAGCACAAGTCGCCTCAAAAGCACAAGACAACATTGCACGAAGCTGTATATTAAACAGGGCAGGAGCTAAGACACAGCCTTGCTTCACACCAGAGACAGCTGCAAAGTCATCTGAGGTCTCTCCACCCAGCTGCACCCTCGCTCGCATACCGCTGTGCAGACATCCAATTAAACTTACAAACTTACTCTGACAACCAAACTTACCCAATACCAGCCACAATGTCTCGCGCTTCACCGTATCAAATGCCTTGGTGAAATCAAAGGAAAGCGAGTACAATGGCTGGTGTCGTTATCCGCACGTCTCCTGCAACTGACGAGCCGAAAACACCATATCTATAGTGCTGCGACCCGAACAGAATCCACACTGCTCCTCCGCCACGTCAGGTCCCACAACCTGACTGACGAGGCGGTCGAGCAGGATTCGGGCAATCACCTTGCCCATACAACTCAGCAAGTTGATGCCACGATAATGCGTGCAAAATTGTTTGCTACCTTTGCCCTTGTACAGTGGTAGCACAAGGGCATCCTTCAGCTCAGGAGGCACCTCCTCCACATTAATCCATACGCGTTGCACCAAGTGGTGCAGCGCAGTCAACCACGCGGGTCCGCCGTGTTTCAATACTTCAGGCGGGATCCCGTCGGCTCTGGCACATTTGCCGTTTCGCAACTGAGCAAGTGCTCTCTGCGTCTCATCCAGTGTCGGCGTATCCGCCAGATCCGCCTTCACATCGTGCTGCTTGAGGCCGTTCAATGTAGGCCAGTCAATCTCTGAACGGTTGTTCAAGAGACAGTCAAAGCGTTTCCGCCAGATCTGCATTATGTCTGCAGTCTGGGTGCAGGTAGCGCCTGAACTATCACCGATCAGTGTCCTCGGTGGCTCTAATCTCGGTCCATACACCGCCTTCAACAAGTCAAATAAGTGCTTTAGTTGACGGCGTTCGGCGTAGCATTCCATCTGCTTCGCCTTCTCCGACCACCATGCATTTTTAATGCGACGGAGCTCTCGGGTCAGTCGCCGTCGAAGTTTGCGAAACTGACTACTCTTTCCAAAGTCACTGGGGTCTGCAACATGTGCAGCAAATGCTGCCTTCTTCTCCGACACCAATGCGCCGATCCTCGCATGGTTCTCATCCAACCAATCAGGCCGTTTAAAGTTTGCGCACCCGGCGGTCTCCTCGGCAGCAGCTGTCACCTGATCGCGAATGTGGTGCCACAGGTCGCCCACTGTGGCTATGTAGTCCACATCACACAGGCGTGCAGCCATCGCCTTCTCCAGCTCAGTACGTTTCGCCACAGTACCGAGGGAGAGAATGTTAAATTTATGCCGACTCACGGAGGGAGTGCAATACATAGATTTACGAAAATATATGTACGGTTTGGTCCGCACCAACTTGTGATCAGTGCCACACTGAGCTGCACGCAGTACACGTGTCATGCGCACTTCATGCATATCACGCTGACGTACCATGCCATAGTCGAGCAGGTGAGCGTGACCACTCCGTGGGTGCGTCCAATTTGCTATATCACTCGCACTCAGTGGAAACCGAGTGTTCGTGATCGTCAGGCCGTGAGTGGCACACAATGAGAGCAGCCTGTCACTCTTCGCATTCGCTGAACCAATGCCATGCGCACCGATAACATCTGTCCACGCTGATGCATCACGCCTAACGCGCGCCTTGAAATCACCCCGCAGAAATAGTCGGTCGCTCCTCGGCAGTGACCGTATCACGGAGGATAGCTCAGTGTAGAACTGATCACGCGTGTCATCAGTATATATATATATATATATATATATATATATATACATATACTTATACATATATATATATATATATAAAGCTAGTTAGTCAGTTTCGATCTGATTAGGTGCTTACATGCACCTGTATGGATGAGACCTATTAAGCGAAGGCCTGGGATCCATAATTCTACTGTTGTTACTGACGCTGTAGTTGACGTACAAATAAAGGCGGGTATAAAATTAGTTTGTAGGTGATCGCACTTACCTGAAAGTGCTCTAACATGCGGAATCATTCTGGGACGTCCGCGGGTAAAAGGTTGTAGTCAGGACTTCCGCCGGCACGGTGGAAACTGTGATCGTTGAACTGGCCGAGTTGGTACTCTCGTCTGTGACACTGGGGCATGCGCCATACTCTCCCATTGTTTGGTCTCCATGTTGGCAAATTATATGAAGGTTGCCATCGCGTGTTTGGCTTCGGAGTCGACGTGCATGTACCTGCATCGCTGTGTGTCTTCGCGGCTGAGCAGCTGGCCACAGCCGGACTTGTAAAAGTATTGCCCTTCGCCGCGTCTACGTTTTCCCACAGTTCACTCAGTTGATCAGCTTAATCTCGTTTCCAAGGGGGCATAGTACAAATTCCTCCTTGACAGAAGGCGTCTTGGCACCCTGGAAGAGTTATTCTGATACCCACAGTTCACACTGCTCCACTCTTCCTTTTACGTAAGCAACACCCACAGATTTTTGTTATTCCCTTACCTAGTCATTAAGTGGTTTCCTACTGGTGTTGATAACGAGCATGGCATTGTCAGCGAAGCTCTGTCTGATGGCTTGGACGTCTCAGCAGCCGACGAAGTGTTGCAAAAGTTGCTGTGGTAAGTTTGGGCTCCAGGATATTACTATCTATAACAATATGGAACGCTTCGCCAGGCAGCAATCCCTCAACGACACTTCCGTGTTGGTTTGCAGGGTAGTAAAGGATATAAATTTGCAGCTGTTTCCCCAGCGACCATAAGGCATTCCAGTACCAAAACGTTTCGGTGTAGGTATGGGTTGTTCGTTGGCTACAGTTATCGAAATGGTTGATAATTTTTTTCAAAATCTGGGACAAAGCATTCAAATATAAGCAAAGTTTGACGTTAGAATCATTAGTCTCGGAGTTATTCACATCGCCGGTGTATTTTATTGCTTTCGGCATTGTCTATTTCTGTTCCAAGGCAGGGTCGCCAAATGGTATCATTCAATGCGGGAAGAACTCCAAAGATCAAGAAGAACTTGATATTAACCAACAAGTGGCCACTATAGGGAATCAATATAATTGTAAAGAAATGGAAAACCGTTACGGTTAACAAGCTTCTCTGTCTCTTTGTTCTTCTTCTGCAACAGCAAAATAGCGCGGCTCTGAAATGGAAGCGCGGACTGCGGTTATGACAATTCAAATAATAAATCGACCTGCTATTATAATACGAGCATCACCAACGACTAAAATCCGGATCCGAAGCAGAGGACATAAATAGACCAACAAAAGATATGAGCGTGCAAAACACATGCAATAGCACCTTTAAGAAGTAGAAAAGAGGTAGAATCTAAATGTATTTGGCCCAGCAGAGCCGATATTTACCAATAGCATGGGACATGGTTCTAGAGTTTGCAAGTAATACCGTGCAACTTTGCAACTACGTGTATGACATCAGAAAATTTAAGATAATGGTGCCGCCACTCAAGACATATAATAGCTTAACGCCTAGCGCTGTGGGTACTGTGGACGCCGTACTCATACAATACAACGAAGCGACTGTTTATAACGGGTATAAAAACAAATGTCTGACATATCCACTAGGATGGTTAGGATAAAAGTTGTAAGACAAAAACAGTGTCGATAAAAGAACGCTCGAGCTACACGACTCAAGAAGAGGTTTAGAGTGGCAAATGTGTCACTGTTCCTGCCGAGTTTAAGAGGATTATGACACTGTCCACTGTTTGTTCTCCAGTAATGCCAACTTATGGCGGTTATAGGCTACATTATATATAGTAAAGGTGTCAGGATAGCGTCAAGGCATTTTCTGGGCAGTGCTAAATTGTGAAGTGTTAATTACATGCGCCGAAAGGGTGTTCCAAGGCTGAAACACTTGCAAGGAGAAAACCTTTCGTCGACAGTCCAGTTGTTTGTACTGCGTGGCCAACTTACACTGAAGATCCTTAAGCGATGTAAATTGGTTGAGTTCCGAAAAGTGATGGCAAGCACAGTTATGACTTTCTTGAATCTGATACAGACTTCTGAGATCTACACGTAGACGCCGATACCTTTCACTGTTCGCTTTTACAGTTTCCAAAGTTGATAGGGAAGGTGGGATAAACATTTGCTTTTCCTAGTCGCTCTGTGTTGTGCATTATCGATGGTGTGGTGCTTCCACCAGTGTTGCCACGCTCGGATAGCGCTTTTTCTTTGCGGTATCTGCGTGCCAAATATTTCCTGAAAGATTGAGGCATCAAAATTCCCGACAGCCCAACGAAGGACGCCGAAGCTCTGCTTTTCGCTATTTGCTACATTTTTGGCCTGCCTAAAACAACCATGGTCATCTCGTACTAGCACACCGAGATCACACTCAAGAGATGCGCGCTGTAGAGTTGGTGGCCCTAGACGGTAATCTTGAGTCCCCGTTTGCGTATGCTCAAAACTTTGCACTTGCTTGCGTTGAACTGGCACATGTTCTCGGTAGACCACTTGTATACTTTATCCATATCAACTTGTGGTGCTGTGTGATCCTCTACTGAAGTGATGACACGCCATCTATTAAGCCCATCAGGAAATAGCAGAAAGTTTGAAGGGAACATCCTTGTGAGTTCATTTATGAAGGCCAGTAACAAGCGGGGCCGGAGTACAGAGCCCTGGGGTACGTCGCATTAAACTTGCATTGCGTCGGATATGGTTCTGCGAACCCACACATTCAGCTGATGCGAACGAGGATGATACCTATCCAGCCTAGAAAATGATAGTCGATCCCATATTTCTGAATTTTGTAGAGTGCGGTAATTTAGTTGTCTGAATGACTTTGAAAAACCCAGGCAGGTGGAATCTACTCCTGCACCAGGATACAAATATTCCGTTCACCATACACGAGCCATCAGTAGGAGAGTAGTGCATGACTGATTCTGGCGAAATGCGTGATGCTAGACTGCAAGAATTTTGTTACTGTCTTAGTACCCCAAGAGTGCCTTAGAGATGATGGACTTTATGATCTCGAAGATCAACGGAAGCAGTGTTATCGGCCGAGAATTCGCTGCTTTTGCCAAGCTGCTACTTTGCAGACTGGATTAACGACCCCTCAGTTCCACATTGAAGGAACTTACTTCTTGTTATAGCATCATAGAAAAAATGTTCTTAGTGGTTCAGGTAATCTCATAGCAGCCACTTTTAGCGCCTTTGTACGAACGTTGTCTGCACCAAGGGAGCTGTATTCGTGCAAGGATATCAGGCATTTCAGTACAAATGATGATGCAAAAGACATGTGCTTGAGCCCTAATTGCGGCATGACTTACGCAGGAAGGAGGTAAGCTGACGGTCTCACTGGAAAATAAGGCGAACTTGTTACTCTAGAAAGTTTGTCCTAGCTTGTACCATTTGCCCCCAGCCCATGAGCTGTGTGCGGAACAGGAGTTCGGCTCTTCACTTGGAGCAATTTCTTGAAGTCTCTGTATAGTAGCTTGGGGTTAGAGCAAAGGATTATCACAAGGTTCTGTCAGTACTTGATTTGTGACTACAGGGCGCGTGGTTTGAAATTTCGAAAAATTTCCGTCTGGAAGTTTTCACCTTCAAATTTGGCTGGGAAGCGTATTCTTGAAACGTCGCTTTGTCAACACTAAGGAGGATACTTGATCAGTCCGTCTCGGTATGATCTAAAAAGGCTAAGAGTGCCCACTTTATCGGAATCTGTCTTGTCGCTGATCTCGGCGTCAAAAATATCGTTGGAAACTTGCTTTTGGCGAAATTTCCTGCGAGTAAACCTAGTCTTTGTTCGGTTGTTGTCTCCGAGTCCTTGTATCATTACCTGTCTTTTGACCACTGGACGCTATCCAGCTAC